CATGTGTTTGTGAGGAAAAAAATTAAACTTGGCAAAGTTATGCTTATTAATTAAAATTTTTTAATTAACATAAAAAAATTAAAATGTTTTAATTTATAATTAATATCAAGAGTTTAAACAGTTATAACATGTTTGGGTTGGAAAAAATAAAATTTTGTTTTAATTATAAAAAATTGAAGAGAGAGAAAAAAAAAATGTATTTTATTATTATAATAATTATTATTTTAACTTAATTACTTATTTAAATGAAAAAAGGAGAAAAAACAGATAAAATTTTACTCTTTTTCTTCTCTTTATTTTCATCAACTCAAATATAATCTTGATACTTTAACAGAAAAAAATATACTAATATATTTTTTTAATTTAGTTGACTTAATTTCTAAATAAAAATGATTTTATTTAATTATTTTAATTTTAATAAAATATTAAATATCATTTTTTTTATTTCAAACGATATAAAAATAAATTACTTAATATTCTGTATAAATAAAGTAAAATAATTATATTAGCCTGAAAAAAAAAGCTTGGTATCCACTTAATTATAAAATATCATAATATTAGTTATTTAATATATCATAATATGCATTTATTTATTTATTAAGGCTTTTGTGTACAATTATCGTATTGACTTTTCTGTTTGTAATATATCATAATATTAAATAAATAAATAAATGTATATTACTAATAAAATAAAAATAAATAAATTATAAAATACCATGGTAATTTTATATTAAGAGTTTAGTGTTTATAATTTAATGAAATTTAAATTAAAAAATATCAATGGTTAATTCAAAGTGTCGTTTCCTAATATTAAGAGATTTCCATTAATTAAATCATCTATACTTTATTATCTAAATTATAAAACACTTCTATTATATCAAACAAAAAATTAAACCAAAATATTACATGCCTATCATTTAAAAAAAGAAACAAAAAAAACCGAAGGTTGGCGATGGTGAAGGGAATAAAAATATTTACCAATTAAACAAAAGAAGGGAATAAAAAATAGTCAATAAGTTCTCCACTTCTTTGGCTTTTTTTTGGCCGTTTGAGTTCTCACTCAATTCACGTTTCTTCTACCCTTTATTAGTTGTCATGGTTTTACTACTTGTCACAATTTTTTTTTTTTGAATAATTAGTAATTATTTATAATGTTAATTGAGAAAAAAAAAAAAAAGATTTTGTGAGACTCAAACATGTAACTCATTGAAAGTAAACAACCATAACCCGAGTTTAATGTCACTGGCCGGAGTGGGCCATTCCTACTTGTCACAAATTTTAAATTATAGTCTTTATTTAATTGTCACTTTGTTAATTGTCATTTTCTACCTTTCGAAAGGAGCATTCCAAACTTTATTCTTTTCATGCATATCTAATTTATTGATAAAAAAATCTTGATACTTGATTTATGCGGTCAGTGTATAGAGTTTTCACCCATATTATTGGGTTCAAATTTCCTTTTCTTTCAATTCCCCCTCACCTCTCCCCCAATTCCCCTTGTACAAAAAAAAAAAAAATCTAATTCATTGATAACAGATTTTTTTAAAAAAAATAGACTGTAAAAACTTCTC